AAAATTTTGTATGGGTAAAAACCCATTTGAAGTCTAAAAAAATCTAATGGATTTTGCTGTAACAGAATACAAGAAGTTCATTCATATGGACTCAGAGTCAACATTGGAATTAACCTTTAAGAAATAGCTACTTGTCAAGTTCTGATGAGGTATCAAAGAATATCTGTAATTAACTAGAAAGGTCCCTCCCTTTCCCAACTACATTTCTGTCTGAGGCCACAATTCTTCACATATTTCAACCAAAAGAACAGATCAGAGTAGGTTGAATGTAGAAGCAGATGTTAAAATCCAGCTGTCTTCTATTCAGTCAGACATTAAGGAGATTTGCACAAATGTAAAACAATGCCCTACTTAACTAACTTTTAAAATGGAAAATAAAGCTATTTTTATTTAAAATGTTTTTTTTTAACATCTATGTTTTAACGTAAAATTCATTAACATAGATTTTTAAAATCTTGTTTATTATGTTAGAAATTAAAAATATCAAGAGATATAATCCACATAAGGCGAAGCTCTTTGGAGTCCTCAAGTTTTAAGAGTGAGCCCTGAGACCGAAATGTTGGAGAACCACTGGCTTAGAGGAACAAAAAGGAGAGGGAGAAAATAAAAATAGAGGAGGAAATTGATCTAGAGTCTCATAGTTATGTAGCCTTGCGGAGATGAGCACTTTAGGCAGAAGTGGCACTGTGACTGAAGAGAAAAAGCCTAATTCAGGACACATTTTGAAAGAAGAAATGGTAAGATTTGGTAATAATTCAGTATGGGGTGAATGAGATGAAAAGCTTAAAAATAACTTGTGTGTTAACTATGTTTTTTTGTTGCAGACTAGAATCAGTTACTGACAGAACCAGCTCAGGTTCCTGGGTGGATGCACCTCTATAAATAGTATTTGGGGGGAACCAAGCAGGAGGGGATGGTGATGGCTTAGGCGAAAGAGCAGTTGGAAAGAAACAGGCAAATGCTGGTCAATAGGAGGCAAGGAAGACAAGCGGTTTGGGGCAAGAAGCAGGTCATGGATAGGTGGAGGGGGGAGGGGAAGGGATTTGACATCAACCCCATGTGTTCCACTTGCCAGACTTGATTCAGAAATACTGTCTTGGAAACTGATATTAAAGGTCCTGGTGCTAGTAAGTGGCTGGACATTGCCTGCAATGGCCAGTGCTCTGTAGAATTTGGGGAGGATGAGTGGGAAAAAGGCTTATCTTGATGGGACAATCTTTGGTAATCAGGGATCTTCATGGTGCTGATAACCGTTTGGCTTTAAGAACTTTAAGGGAATGATCAGATGGGAAGTGAAAGCAATAAAGTGGGCCAAGTTGGAACAGTTTATCAGGAAAAAAGGAGGGAATTTGTTATTCCGAAGGAAGAGTGACTTCAGAAATAGTTGTTAAAGGCAGAGAAGTTATAAACAGCTATTTTTTAAGTAAGAGAAATATAAGCACATTGAATATAGATATGAATACATGATACTAGAAGATGAAATAATAGCTGTTGGTGTTAAAATTAGAAAGACAAATGACCGATTTGATACAACATCTTATCTCAAAAATGTTTGGTTTGTAAGGTGTTTCTCACGCTTTTTTGAGCCTTACAGCCTTACAATATATAAGAAGGAGGTTTTGGCTACTTCCCCGGTGAGGAAATTAGAGAAGTTAACACTGTAAAGGGTTCTGAGACTCTAGGGAAAGGTGAGGGGATGATTATAAAGGGCACAAATAGGTTTGAAGTGATGTTGGCAGTAACTGGAGAGCTGCTGAGTTTATGGACTACACCTGCATGTTTGTGCCCCAAACATGGGCCAACAGGTGTGAATAGTTAAAAAGAGACAGGAAGCGATCCAAGAAATACCCTTTGCCTTTCTCCACATTGTATTCCACAATGGTATGTGATATGTGAGGATTTTGTGAAACCGTCATTGGGAAGAATTATCACTTCCACTTGACTTTTGGATTCCTGGGGAGTCAGGCCGGTTACTCTCTCAACTCCAAATAACAGCCGTCGTAAATTATTTGGATATTTAAATCTGTGAGATGTAAAGTGCAGCTAAGAGATGACGCCTTCCTCTCATCCCATATCCCACTGGTAGTGGGTAAGGTTTCCCCATTAATGATGAGTGTTTCAGTATTAATTACACAAATGAAAAGAAGCTCTCCCTTTATATGCCCCAGTGGACTTCGGTTTGGGGGGTCATTTTGGAGCAAGAATTAGCTTAACGAAATTCTCTCCTGACTCTTCACACCTCAGTATTTGGTGGTCAACTATGGAAGCAGGAATGCACTTCCGTTCCACAGTGAAATGTGTCGGTGTGAGTTCCCCGGCATCTCATCTCTTCCAAAATGACACTGTCACACTTCAGCCGGGTGTCTGTCTGCCAGAAGGAAAAGTTCAGTGAGAGAAGGCCCTGTGCAGTAGGGAAGGAAAGATGCAGCAGGTTTGATGTGAATTGAGGAATTCAGACTGAAGGGGGCTTTTGAGGGGGGAAGGTCCCTAGGGTGACATTGTAGAAGACAGGGCAATAGGAAAAGATAGTTGGGAAGCTTTTGGAAGAAAAAAATTGCAGTGGCTTAATGAGTGCCAAAACCGAGATAACGTCTGTGCACGCATTTCAAAACTCAGTAGGGTTTTGGAATTTAGATAGAAGCAAAGTCCAGTTGAATGGTTTAGAGAACAAGTTAATCATGAATTTTGGTGCCTTTTGTCCATTCAGACATTAAACCTGGCCTTGCCACTGCTCCCCACAACTTGCCTGAAGTGACGGTTGATGGCTGGTTGTCTGTGGGGATCTCTATCCCCTTGGCGGTCACGGCTGTCTTTGTGCAGACGCAAGGCGGAGGCAGCAGTGACGCTGCCGGGGACACCCCGCTCCTGCAGGACCTAACGCAGGATGCCGGGTCTGGGATCCAGCCCCAAGTGCGCCCTGGCCTGCTCGTCTTCAGGGCCAATTTTGTGGCGGCCAAGCGTGTGCAGCTGCTCTCCCTGCCGCCATAGCAGCTGCCAACTGGGAGTAGTTTCTGGCTCTTTCCCCAGTGTTTCAGGTTGAACTAGAAGCTAGACATTCTGGGGCACAGTCACAATCGGGTAGTGTATAGAGATTGTTTCGAAAGGAAAGGGGGGGCGTGGACTAGAGAAATTGCTGAGTTCTGCCCCTTCACCCACTTCTTCCCCTTCTCATCTGCATCCTGTTCTTTCCCTCTGGTCCAGCTGCCACCAAAGATAAAGCAGCTCGCCCTGCCCAAGCCTTGGGACAAGGGAGGGTGGGGCTGAGTATGCTGTGAAGTGGTTCGGCCCTTGGGTGTGCCTGGGTAGTGTTGATTCGGTTTGGTTCCCGCCTCCCTCACCCAGGTGCCCATGCACCTTGAGAATCAAAATGTGGCTGAGATCTCTGGTGAGATCTCTGAAGGGGCCTTCTGCTGCCTGGCTCTCACGTGGGGGTGACTGCCCCTGGGCAGTTCCCTTAACCCTGTTGGCCTGCGGCCACTGCCCCTGCATATTACGAGTTTCACTCAAACGATCCAGGGCACTCTCAACCCAAGCAACTCAAGCCTTGGTTATTTTATTCCTCATTTTCTAGAGCAACTAAAACCATCCCAGGTTGTGTTTTAAACAGCTCTTCTTCCCATCCCAAACACGGGAAGCCTTTGAGAATAAGGGTGGGGCGTTTCTCCCCTAGTTTCCCTTCCAGCTGCCATCTAGGGAGCATGACTCAGCAAAGCTGATGTGTGGGTGAGGGTAATACAGAAGGTCTTCTCAGCTCTGCTTATTTTGATTTTTGCAGTTCCTCACAAAAGGCAGTTACCATTGAACTTTGGTGCCGATATTACTGCTATTTTGCTCTTCTTTCCTTATTGTATTTTTCTAAGACCTACTGTCTGTTATATGCAGATTTCCACATCTAGGGAAATTGGTTCATGAATGTATGGCTCTAGGTATCTAGATAATTTAACAAAAATGAACAAAACATTAAGATGAGAGACTATATTACAGGTTGGATATTCTTACGTTCTAATTTCTGTAAGCACAGTTTGCTTTATACATTACTTCATTCTCTGATGGATGCTGATTTTAAAATGTAAGAGAGGGGTTAGAATAATGTGAATATCATTTTGTCAAACATAATTAAGGACATACCCTTAGGTTTTTGGATACAAGGTTTACCTAGACCTCAACATTTAAATCAAATGCAACAACAAAAATTTCTTCAGTGCCAAAAGCAAGGACTGGCCTTAGGGAGATCAGAAAGAAAGAAAGTCTTGCGCGCATGCCGGGGGCCTTCAGGTAAAAGGTGCTGTAGCATTGCTGTGGAGCTCGTTGAAAACGCAGCCCGATTTCTCTATATTCTTGTGGAGTGGACAACAGAATGTATTACTGGATCCTATCTCTCAGGACCCGTTTCACTGGGATTTACCATCTTTGTTTCAACTTGGACTTATGATGATTGACCCTTGGGTTGGAATCCTGGGTGTCTTTCACTGCTGTGGGGTGAGCAGAGCAAGTTTCTGTCGAAGTGGTCATGCCCCTGCCTTGTTTTGATGAAAACTTGATTTCCGTTTTACCCCAACATTTAAGTAGCCTGCCTGCCTCTGCTAACAGACCTCTCGGGTTTTCCTTTATTTCAGCCTCCTATGGGCATTGGCCACACTGTGCTCCCCAAGAGGAAGAGGCAGGGTAGGCCTTTTTCTGCTTCAGGTGTCTGGTGTACCCATTTTTCACATGACGTGGAACTAAGCATCGCTTTCAGATCATGACACTGGGTTCTTCTGATTCAGGTCAAATAGTTCACCTTCTGCACCTGGAGTTTATCTTTTACTGTCTTCCCTAACCAGTCACAACCTCTTAATTACAATGTATTGCTAGAGGACAGGCAACATTGTCAAACTTTGCGCATTTAAAAAAAAAAATATGCAAAGGCCCCAGACAAGCAGCTCTGGTGCCAGCTCCTCCAGATGTGTTACTGAAATGTCCCACAGGGGCATCTTCATTGTTTTCTTTCTTTGTTCCAGAAGCAAAGGCTGATAATGAACCAAGCTGTTCGCCGGCAGCTCAAGAACTGTTGACAAGGCTGGGATTTTTACTGGGAGAAGGGATCCCAAGTGCCACACACATAACCATTGAAGAAAAAAATGAAACCATGGTAATGCCCGAGGAAGCCACTGCATTTCTCACCTGCTCGGAGGATGAATGAAGGGGCGACCATCCACCCCGCTTCCTCGCTTCCTCGAGTGGGGAAGTCATTGTTCAGTCAAATGAGTTTGAGCTGTTGTGTATTGAAATTTATTGCAACCGCTTGTGGGTTTTTGCAGTGGGGAGGTGGGGAGAGACGCAGGAGGCTGCAGAACTTAAGAAAATGTCCACATTAACCTTCCTGTCACCGCCCGGAGAAGAGTGGCTAAATGAATTAAAGTGGCTGAGAGAATCCCGTAGTAATGATACTACTTTTATCTTTATAGCAGCATTCTTCTCATATGGCTGCTTTTTTTAGCACTTGAGATTTTGGAGGGTCAGTGGGGTGAGAAAAAGATTTATAGGAGATGAGACAGAGACTAAATGAGATGAGACCACATGGTTCATCTACCTGAGCGCACTCCCCACCCTGGGGCGCAGCAGCCTGCCACTTCTAGGGGAGACGTGTCCGGCTGAATAGCAATGAGGGACTGGTTGGAGCTTCTGCCCCTGGCCAGGGTCTCTGCATGGGTGTCATGCCTTGACTGAGATCCCAGGGACCACCAGTCTCCTTGCCCTGCTCCCAGAGCCCATAAATCTTGCGGAATTGAATCGGGCTGCAGTGCTTGTGAAACATTACGAAAACAGAGTTCCCAGATTTTCCGTACAGAGGTCAAAGAACCCATTTGTCTTCGGCAGACTTGAAATGAGAGGAAGTCTGCCTGCTTGCTATTTCTGTTTCACAAATGCGCATTCCCACTACATTATTTCTAAGGCTGCCCTTGCCACAAAACAAGAATCACAAGGGAGGGGAACAGATCAAGGATGTTTCTCTTTTAAAACGCGTAAGATCCGTATAGATGTTAAGCTCCCAAGACTTTAAAAATTATTCTCCACATTCCTGTTTTTCATGTTACTGTTTCAGCGTTAAAAACAAAAGAATGTGTTAGAAGCATCCTGTGTGAGCCCTGCTAACTCCTGCTTCCGTTCGTCTTGCAGTGCACAGCTCTGAGCCAAGGCATCAGTCCTTGCTCCACACTAACAAGCAGCACCGCATCTCCTAGCACCGATAGCCCCTGCTCAACCTTGAATAGCTGTGTCAGCAAGACTGCAGCCAGCAAAAGTCCCTGTGAGACCATCAGCAGCCCTAGCTCCACCCTGGAAAGCAAGGACAGTGGGATTATAGGTAAGGCGCACACTGCTCGGTAATGTCTCAATGCACGTCCGCCAGAGCATTCGCTCTCCAGGCTCCCCTTCAGAGGGTTTAGCGTGGTCTGTGAAGGTCAGTCTGCCAGGGCCTGCCCTGCTCTTTGCAGACAGTGCTGGCTCCACGCACAGCCGAGAGAATAAAGCATCGGCTTTGACATTCCTTGGTGTTCCTTTTATAACACTGGACTCATCTGGTAAAAAATTTTCCCGGTCAGATGTGGCCTGTGAAGTTACAAAAATCTGCCCTCCGCACTAATGAATTGCATTTGTTGGGGATTGGGTCTCACTAGGACACAGCAGGGCAGAGAAATCCACGCATCCTGCAAAGTCTCCCCAGCCCAATCTTAAGGTCACGTACTTCCCTACGTATTTCCAGGTGTTTGTTCTTTGGTTTCCTATAATGGGAATTATCCCATTATAGGGCTTGGCCAGTTTTTGAGGCCAAGATTTTCTAAGAATGCGCCCCCGTTCCCCCTGTACCTCCATAGTTCGTGTGGTTGTCCTGAAGTGAACGTCAGGATTCTAGTCCTGACTCGGGCTGCTCAGCTCAGTGACTTTGAGCAACATTTGAGTTCTTTGCACGTCTCTTTCCTCTCTGTAAAATTAAGCATTCTGATTTGTTTAGTAGTTTCTAGTCCCAGGTGCATGTCAGAGTCATCCAGGGAATTTAAGAGCCTTTGTTTTTACATCCAGTCCCAGACAGACTGCATTTAAGTTTCTGCAGGCTGGCCTGGGCATCTGTGGGTCTCAGGTCTCCTGTCTGGCGCCTTTTGGGAAACACGCATGTGGGACTGCTGGGCGGATCACCCAGGGGCGCCTCGGCTCTAAGGTCACGCAGCTGTTTAACATCAGTCCTCTACTGAACAATGCAGCTCCTTCCCTTTTGCTGGGTTACATGTCTTTGATAGATATTTTACTTTTTCTTATGGACTGAACCCCACTTGCTTCCTTAATAATATGTAACCAAATGGAATGACATTTGAGCTCCTGGTTTTTATTGAGTGACCTGCATTCTCTTTCAAGTGCAATTTGAAAAACCAAGTTGCAGGTTTACCCAGTTTGTAGTTTGGAGGTGGCCGCAGATCTGTCAGCTTCCTGGGGCTGGACTGTGAGCGTCTTGGTGTCATCCTTACTGCAGCTTTGTCTGGGGCCCTCAGCATAATAAGGCAGCCTCTTCCTTCAGTTTTCACTGGGATTAGGCTCTTTGGTGAATGGGTGTTTGATTAATTGCTGTATGGAGGTACGACTCACATACCATAATATTCACCCATTTAAGCCATTGAACGTTTTGGGGGTTTTTTTGGTATATTCAGAGTTCAGCCTGCTTTCAGAATGCATTTATCACCCCAAAAAGAAATCCTGTGCCATTAGCAGTCACATCTCATTTCCCCCTTTACCTCCAGCCCTGCTCAGTCTGCTCTCTGTAGGTTAGCTGATTCTGGACACTCATAGAAATGGTGGGTTGAGGTTTTGTAGCAAATTTAAATTCTCAATCTGCTTCAAATGAGCTTATTTTGCCAATTCCCCATTCTCATCTCACTCTGCTGGCCCACCTGCTGTTTAGTCTAGTCCAGCTAACTTTTCCCAGTGTTCCTTCTGTTCTCGTGCCCTGTCTCCCTCTGAGCTGTTCGCCATTGCTAGGTCTCTGGTATTAGCTCTGTGATAGCCAGATGACTTTCTTTACATCATTTTTACCTCTGCTGAAATTCCGTCTCCTCTGTAGAGTTTATTTTCATTCAAGAAGTTGGCCAGTGCAACCTTTTTTTTTTTTTTTTTAATGGACAAACTTTTCCTTTTCATTGTATGTTCTGGCATTGGCATTTTGTGCCTCTTACTACAACCAATCCAGTTACTTGTTTTGACAGTCAGAAACTTTTTCAATAACAAAAAAATGACATTCATTCATTCATGTATGCATTCTCTCTCTCTGTCTTTCTTTCTTTCTCTTTGAGATACAGTGCTGCAATTAAAAATGCTCTAACAGGAGGAAAGAAAAGTTGCTGGTTCGGTCCTGTGTTGTCCATGAAAGACTGAGCTGCGGGAATATTGAGCCTTTAATTAGTGCTTGATTTACTCTAGTTCCACTCAATCTGAGACTGGTCAGTCCCCTTGTTATATGTTCTCCGTTACTCCTCAGTGTTTTTCTTCAACTTAGTTTTTTCTTGTTTTATTGTTTACTTTCATCTCATGTGGAGAGGGGACTCATCTGTATTATCCCAGCTCTCTACTGGGCTCCTAGAATGGTGTAGAGAATGAGAAATTAAAGAGAATTGTTGCTACTATCAATTTCTGTGGAAGGAAGGAATGTTAGTTGGTTTATAAAGAAGGTATGCAGGATTCCCAGTCCAAGTTAGCATTGTCAAATCTTTAACGTCATCTGTATTTTAAACAGTTTTGTCCTTAAAGTTAAATGACACATTTTATGTCCTCAAAGCTTTCCTTCATTTTTTGGCTCAAGTCAATGTATTCCTTAACTCGGCAGATGAAAGTGGGAGGAATGAGAGGTGGTAAGCCCCCTTTTTATGGAAGACCCCCCAGACTGGAGACTGTGCTTCACGTTGCTTTAGCTCATCCCCTGCGCGGGGGGGTAAGGACTACAGGTGGCTGAGAGGGAAACGCTGGGCTGGTGACAACGTTCCTCTGTTCTCTCTCCCTTGGTGACCTGCAGCATTACAGTCCTTTGCCAAGGGACACATTGGAGGTGTGGTAGGGAGGAGAAGGGGAAAAAAGCAAGTATTTCCTCTCCAGACAGACTGTAGCCACAGTCTTTGAAGGGGCAGGAGTGGCGGGGCCGGACGAGGGAAAGAGCTTCCTCCTGAATCAGCCCAGGGACTGCCTCTTCGGAGACCCAGGGCCCTGTGACTCGGTTGTGGTTCTTGGTTGTAATTGCCAGGGGTGGCGTGTGTGCTGCTTCTCCCTGAAGAACAGGGCTTGTTTTGGCAAGGTGTAGCCTGGGAATGGCAACCTTCAATGTTTAACAGAATTAAATATTCAGGAACACAGCGATCCTAGTGGGCAGAGATGAAAGCGAGATACCTTGGCGTTCTGTTTTGGAAGGCCTGGCAGCCGCTTATAAAATAGGCTGGTCCAGATCCATGTTCCAACTTACGTAGGGCCAGGGAAGGGAGGAAGAGGCTTTCTGGTGAATTTTCCATTTTAAGTCGTTTAAGATTCATCAACCCACAGAGCCCAGGTTGGAGCGGCAAAGGTTTTGGGGGTGGGCGGTGTGAAGTGCCCACAGCCGCCATGGCTTTACAAGCTCTGGGGAACTAGAGGCCCCCACGCTACAGGGCTCGGACCGGCGTTCCGTGTGCAGTGTTAACACCATTTATGTGGGACATTTAGGGGAGATTTCCAACAGTGCTAACCCATCCTGAAGTCTTCCTGGGCCTCCCCTTCTACTTAAGCCGATTTCCATCTTGCTGATTATATTTACTCTAAGTGCTTTCGCCCAGCAGGGCCAGAGGGCAGCTCGTCCCCACATGCCCAGGTCGCCTTCCTGGGGCTGCCACAGGCTTCCCTGCCGGGGGCCTGTTTCTACCGGTTCTGACATATTGCAGGGGAAGATAATTTTCTTTTTAGGAACTGCTTAGTAGGAGAAGAGGCAGGCTGATAACCATTGGAAGCATTTACTGGACCCCTTCCGATCCTTCTCTGTGGAGGCCAGAGCTCAGCAGATCCTCCCCTCCCCCTGTTCACACTTGATTGTGTTGTGCAGAGGGGAGTCCCACTCTATCCTGTTTCAGGAGGTCCAAGTTCTGCCAACATAAATGTCTTTAGAAGAATAATAATTCTGTCATGTAAAAATACTGTCTAAGCTGGATGGGATTAACTGAATTCCCTATGAATATCTTCTTTTTAAAAAAAAAAAGTAAAATTCCTTACTCTTTACGTATTGAAATCATTGGCATGACCTAGAAGTTAGTGTCTGATTTTTCTGATCTGCCGTGTGAAAACCTTTTAAATGTGAAAGCCAGCTGTACCCAGTCACCATAAACTAGTTCTTCAATTACTTGTTTTGAAAAGGAAAAAAAAAATTATAAAGAAGGGGCTTTTAAAGGTGTCTCCTCCCTGCCTGAGAAAACATTTTTTTTCTTATTGATACTCCCTTGATATAACTTGCTCCCAGCTGTACAAATGGAAATGGTGGACTGTATTAATCCCAGCTTTGAACAAATGTGTTTTCATCAGAATCTGTGTGAAAACCAATCTGATTTTTTTAAAGTACCACTGAAAATAGTGGGTTTTGAAGGATTTTTTTTATTTGAACATACTGTTTAGTATTTGTTTATGCCCATATCATGATCAATATTTTATGTGTGGATATTTACCTTAAGGAAATAGGCTTTTCTCAAGGAAGAAGGAGAATGTATATTTGATGAGAAGAAACAAACAATACCCAGCTTTCCTATCAAGATTTTAAAAAATAATAAATCTTTCCTATCTTATTTTATTATTTAATAAAAATAGTATATTTTCTTAGAAATATAAATCTTTAATATATGTGGCCAGGACAAGGACTTACAGATAGCAATTAGAAAAATCCTGGCTTTGGAGAGAGGTCATTAAAAGTCAGTCACCCCTTCCATCCCCTCTTCTACTCTCAGCTTGTGCCTGCTGACACTTGGAATCTCCAGAGGACTTTTGTGGTGCGGTAGATGTGTTTCCTTTTGAGAGCGGGTGGTTGCACAGATCCAGGAAGGGAGGGGAAGGGATTCCCAGGGACAGGGGCCCTATCTCCCCTACTAGGCATGTCTCCTGCACCGAGCAGGTGTGTTGTTCACCTGCCAGGCTTCCCAACACCTGAGCCACATCGTTTCACCAGCCAGGCCAGGTAGCTTTCTGGGCGATGAAGTGTTCAGAATATGAAAGGGAGAAAGCAAGAACGTGGGTTCTCCTGCTTCCTGTTTCCTTTCTTTGGGGGGAGGGGCTTGTATTTATTTGCTTTCCTCCTTCTCACTTGAAAGCTGGGAGGCA